TTTACAGCCGAGTGATGGTGGATCCAGTGCAGAACTTGGGCGACTCTTTTATTTGTAACATAGAAAAAGTTTTCCTCTGCACCGGAGCTGATGGATACGTCCCTAAATACAACCCCAGCAACTTTGAGTTTGGCTGTCTGGCTGACGCTCCGTCGATTCTCTACAGATTCAAGATCATTGTAAGTAACTGAAGTATATCTCTTATTACGTTGCATTTGCTGTGCGTCTACTCAAAGGTTTATATTCTTCCCTGCATTTCCAGGACAAGGCCCAACCGGAGACCCAGGCTCAGTCATTTGGCAACGTAGCTTTCAAGGCCTTCCTGGCCGTGGACGACCCCGGCGCTTTGGCCCTAGTGAGACAACCTGGGTCTGACGGTTTCAGAATGGATTCCTCAGCTCTCTTCCAGGTCAGTATACAGGTCAAGTACAATAAACACATTCAGTACACAACCAAGAATAGTGCACATTCTCACGTTTCACTAATCCACGATGCATTCCATCATGGGTCACATGATGCTTTAGTATATGTTTTTGCTTTGCTACGTAACCCAGTCTGGCTTTAAAGATTCAGTGTGTAAGATTTAGGTGAAAGGGATTTTTAGCAGAAATTGAATATAAAATAATGATGTTTTCACTGCTGTGTTTCATGTAAATTGTATGAATTGTTGTTTTCTTTACCATAGAATCGACCCTTTATTTTTAAATACTTTATATTTACATGGAGGGGGTCCTCTCTGTGGAGGCCGCCATGTTTTTGACTGTCGTCCAAACAGGACAAACTAAAACCTTTTGAGTTTTCATGACAACTGAAGTTCACCACAGGTTCTCTTTCATGTTGGGAAGGGGAGGGTGAGGTGAGGGGTGTTCAGCTGCAACATGACACTTCACCTCTAGATGAACCTTTAACTGGTGTAATGAAAATATACTGGAACTAGAATAGTACTCATCTCCGCCAAGGCCCAACTGTCTCTTTATGAAACCACATTCACAAGATCCAGATTTGTATTTGGATCTGCACCAAATTGCACAAACTATCAGTCCCCTAAAAATGCCTGACTGTTTTCATCAAGACACATGAACTACTCTCTGGGAAATTGGTGACACTACTTGAAAAAGCCCTATCAAATGATCCATACCACATCCTTCCAGGACGTTTTGTGATAATCCAACCAGTAGTTTTTGCATAATCCAGCTAATTTACAGACAAATAAACAAAAGCAGATGGAAACATAACGTCCTGCTCCTGAGTAGGTGTACTGTGCTTTATACGAGTCAGAGAAGGTGACGTTTTTGTGTTTCTGGGCTTGTTAAAGAGAAAAGTTCATATCAGGCCTGGTGGACATTTTGTGAACATCTGTATGCACAGAGAGAAAACACAAAACAATCACCACCTCTGGCGGAGGTTATATTTTTGCTTCTTGTTTGGTTGTTAGTTTTTGAACAGGATTACACAAAAACTATTGAACAGATTTCCAGGAAACTTGGTGCACGGATGGAACATGGGCCAAGAAAGAAACCAGTACATTTTGTAGTGGATACAGTGGATGCAGCTCCCAGATTGAAATCTATGAGTGTGTGTAATTTGGTGACTGAATGTAGCAGGACTGTAGGGCCTTGGAGGAATGGTAAATGGTCTGTATTTATATGGAGCTATTCTAGTCTTGACGACCACTCAAAGGGCATCCACCCATACATTCAGGGTTGAGTATCTTGCCCAGGGACACTTCAGCATACAGATGGGCAAGACTGGGATTGAACCGCCGACCATCTGGTTGGAGGACCATCAGCCTCAGCCAGTTCTGTTACAGTATTGTTGCCAGCGTGTACAAGTGCACTGGCTTTCCCTGCAGTATGAAAATTACATCTGTTTGATGTTGGACTTCAGCTGCTGTGACTGTACAACACAATTGTAGAGACAGACGCACTAAGAAACAGCAATAGGGCAAAATACATTTCATATCCCACATTTCTTATTATACTCCACTCTCAATGATGGGGCTTAATTTTCTTAGTCTCTAAATTGAGCTAGGAGTCTGATACCATCATCAAGCTACCATGATGACCTCTTCTGGATGCCATTCTAGAAAAAAGAAAATTGAAAAAGGGAACTGGTTTTCTTTAAATATCAAAACAATGATTTATGAAAACAGTAAATGTTGCTCTCCTCAGGTCTCTGCAGGAAGAGAGTGGTACATTCACACCATCTACACCGTTCGTTCCCGGGACAACGCTAACCGTGGCATAGGGAAGAGGAGTCTGGAGTACCATGCGATGAGCCAACACACGAACCTGCTTCCAAAGGGCCAAGGCCGCGTCAGGAGGTCAGCCAACGACGTGCCGGACGTAATCGAGGAGATCGGCGTGAGTAACAACCGTGGCACCAACATCCTGCACATCGCGCTGGACCGCGGCAGCCAGCGGAGGACGAGCCCCGAGAGGGAAATCTTCACCAAAGGGATCATCAACCGCGAGGTCAACCAGAAAGACGACGGTGACGACGGACTCGTGTTGATCATCGGCGTCTTCGTCGGGCTGCTCCTCACGGTTCTCATCGTCATCGTGGTGGTGGTGCTCGTCCGGTCCAAGCGAGAGAAGAAAGACGTCCCCAAGAACTCCAGCAGCGCCGAGCCCATGATGACGCAAGGCCTCGGTGGCAGCGACAGCTCCGAGGTTTAACCAACATGGCGGTGGAGAATCTTTTAGTTGACGTCTTTGTTTTTTTTTTTTTGCAAGTGCCTCACAGTTAGACAAAAATTGAAGATTGTGTGTGAAGCAACACAAATTACAAGAGCTTTGATTCTATTCAGAAATCTACTTGAAATACGGGATCACTTTTTTCACAGCCTCGCACTGGTCTGGACACGAACCAGGAGGTCGACTACGTCAGTCGCTGTTTCAAGGCACTTGTCAAGTTGTCATCGATCACTTATTGATTTGCTTTTGATGCCACTTGATCCAAAAAATATGTTTTTATGTTTCCAAAGGTGCTACAGAAGACGCCTGTTGACTTGAATGGCATTTGGTGTTTTACCGAGTAGGTCAAGAGGAGCTGGATATTTTGTGTTGTTTGACTTGCTGCGTTAAGACACTGTCCATCGGTTGCTTACACTGGGTGAACCTGCAGAGAATGATTGGTCCTAAAATTCAGTGCGTGCCTAAGAACTCACAGGATGTTTAAAGTTTCACAGATGTGTTTTGTTTGTCCTGTGTGATCAGCACGACATCCGCACTCAGAAAGAACAAGAATTTGAGTCATTTGATTGAATACTGGTTTTCTCCTGCTTACGTTTTTGCATGGATTTACTTTACATTTTTTTAATTGTTTATGAGAAAAAAGAATTGTGAAAAATGCATCTGACCTGCTGAATTCCCACCATTTTGTATTTTTCAGCACATTCCCCCAAATATTTACGATTATGATTTTACCTCCTTCACAATTGACACGTGGCACTAAATTAAATGAGAGAAAATAAACCGTAGTATTGACTTTTTGAGACAGCTGGTCTGCAATGTACAGTGAAGAATAGCAGTGGTTCCAGATCCTCTATTTCCAACAGGAACTATATCTCCACGCTGGTGTTAACTCCAGTAGTTCATCAGGAATATCAGAGGCTGTAATTCCCTCCAACAACAGGGCTACGTTTTAACTGTGCTGATATATTTCTTATATCGTCTATTAGCTTTTCACTTAAAGGGAATGAAATGTTTTACCCTCAAACCATCCATCAAGTTCTCTCCCTGGTTTTTAGTTTTAAATGTATTTATTTATTTTTCAATTTCAATTTTATTAAGTGCTGAAACAAATATAAATATATATTCATCATCATTTTAATTTGAACCTATCAAAAACTGTAAGAATTATACCAAACAGAAATACAGTTCATGTATCGTGTTTGCATCAAAACATTGTGCACATAAGATGAGACGTCACTCAAGCTTTCCACGCATCAGTGGTTTTTAGTTTTTTTCCGTTTGTTTCAGATCCAGGCACCGGATTGCCATAAAATCTGATTACCTCACACTACTGAGACATGTTCCTATCACTACTTTATAAATGTAGCGTGTGTTTGCAATTTTATTTCAAAAATTAAACTTCTATGCAACCTGTGATATCACACCTTCATCAAAAGTTTACTCCCAACTATGATTATTTTTTTCCTCAGTGCACGAGTTGCTTGCTAATTTAGGTTTAACACTGTATCAATGTACTGTGGTTCTTTTCTCACTCTAATGCTTTTGCGTGCATTCTGAGCTTTTCATGCACATGTATGTATGTATATACGTATGTATTACATATAAATATACCATTTGGATGTTTTGGGGAATGGTTATTGTTAAAGAAAATGCATACTGTATGTGCTGTAAGTATTTGTAACATAGACCAGAAGCACAACGTGGTCTGCAAATAAATAATTTTTCAAGAAAACTATTTGACTTTTTGTTCTTTCTTTTTCAGCACAGGGCTGCATGGCGGTACAGTGGGAAGCCTCACAGCAGGAAGGTTTGAATCCCGGTTGGGACAAGGGGTCTTTCTCTGGGGCGTTTGCATGTTCGTGTGATGGATGGATGGATTTTAGTTTTAAGCAGCCACCAGGAATATCTATCAATCAATCCATGTGAGCATCTCAAAAGGCAATATATCTCTCTAAATCTTAATCCTGTGGTACCCCGTCTCTAGACTAGTGTCAAAGTTAAAGCTGTTGCAGGGAATTGATCTTTGAGCCTATGCATCTGTTCTATTATATTTCCATCACACGCATCCATCGCCATATTCAGATCTTTGAATATCTATCGACCCATGTGAGCATCACATTTTAGATACAAGGCCACAAATTCTTTCACACTTTAACTACTACAACCTGTTTTGCGATTGCTCTCCTTGTTTATTTCAGAACTTGCTCTCACTGACCCATTATGTGCAATGAAATCATCACCTCCTCATTACCACCAATTTACATGAGAAAACACAGATCACACGTAATGAGAACAAGCACAACATCAGTAAACCATGTGCTTTTATTACCAGTGCATATTCATAAAGAAAACAAAGATCGTTTGTAGTGGTGTGACACAAACAGCGCAGGTTAAAATGCTTCGGACACGTCTCTAAAAAGGTGGAACCCCTCGACTCTATAAAGATGTCCGGGCTCCTGTTTGGCAACAAGTCAAACAACGGACCAGGTGCACGTGAAACAGCAGCTTCCTGGTAGAGTGAACTGGTGAAAGCAGGTCACATCCTGCAGTCGTGTTGGTGATTATATCAGACCAGGACGCTGCCATCTTCCTGCACCTGCTCCCTTCATCTGCTCTGGCACCAGGGTTTCATATGACATTACAGAGAATGAACACTGGGAGAAGCAAGAGCAGCAACACCTCTACTGGTACAAGGGTTTTCTTCATGGCTTGATACAGTTCAGGCAGAAACTCGGATATAACAGCGTTTTTTGTCCAGACAAGCCGAATCGTGGATGAGTTTGCTGGTAAATATCTTATAAATTGGATTCTTTTGTCATGGTTTCCTATGTGTAAGCAAAACAAAACAAACAGACAAAAAATGGTAAAACAGAATTCATTTTCCACTCCAATAGTTTTATAATCTCGTGTTTGCACAAGTCAGCAGTTTTCTCACAACGTCTCCTTCAAAATCTAAAAATCGGAAACCATTTTGTTTCTATTGATATGGTTTGGATGTGATATGGATGGATGGTTTTCCTGAGATATGTTATTACGGATTCCGGTTTGGAAAATCTTTATTTGTTAAAGGCAGAACAATGAGTCTATGAAACCATTCCCGATATCGTCAGCCATTCATCTGTAACAGAGAAACTGTCATTTTTGATGACATCCCAAATGAAAATTTAAAAAAAAAAAATGTGTCAGTAGTTTTAGAAAACTGCTTCCCACGTGCACGAACACAGATTTTTGCTGGATTGTGAATTCTCCTTTACAGTGAAAAGTGTGAAAAGAAAGCACACCCGTTTAGAAAAATAATTTGTAAATGCTGCACTAGTGTATAAAATAAAATAAATTAGCTTTTTTTTCATTTTGTTGGTTTTTTTCCCTTCAAAACAACAGATATTAACAAAAATGGATTATTGTGCTGCTTACATTAGCAATAAATATGACACATTTCTTTTTTTCAGCAAGTGCTGGGTATGTTTCGAAAGCACAATCTTTTTTTTTTTTTTAACAGCTGCCATACACACGTTTAAAATCCTAGAAAGTCCTTGACTGCTGCTCTCCCATGAGCCAAAAGGCCCGTGTTTCAAATTCATAGCACATACTGAGTGATCTAATATACACAATATACATTTATGTATATACAGTACATACAGCAAATCAATGCACGGATGGTGGTGTGATTATGTTATGTGAGAAGTCCCTAAATGATTATTATTTTTATTACATGTCATTGCTAAAGAAGCGCAGCGCTGTTCATTTCACTGTAAGCATCTACTAGTTCATGAGAAAAGCAACTGATGGGTACACTGTGCTGTTGCCTAGGCTTTGAGATCAATTAAAACTTCATGCATTTGGACAAGTTATGGCTCATTAAATACTTCTACCTCCTACCGTGTCGCTCTCACACAAACTGTGGGGTAACGACGCAAGAAAGCTTTTGCACTTTCTCTCAAAACCAGTCCACAGCTTCATGTCCATGACTTGTCCCACAGACGCTACATCACCCAACTTTAAAATCAACCTCCACTACACATCATTAAGATTAAAACTCAGGTTCAGACGCGTAATTATATCCGGGGGGGGGAGATGGTCTGATGTGCACATCAAAAGGCTGTAGTGGAAAGGTCATTGCACCCTGTGGATTACATTGGTTGTTGTCGTTTGTCAGTGCTTGCAGTGGTAAAGATGGCGTGTCTCAGGTCTCTACTGCAGGTAGCGGTAGACCTTGAAGCAGTGGTTTCCGGAGTCGGCCACTGCCACATGACCATCGGACGTGAGGGCCAAGCCCTGGGGGCCATACAGGGGGTCCGCTGTTGTGTTGATGTAGGACAGGAAGGACCCTGAGCTGTCGAACACCTGCACAGAGGGACAGGTTGGAGAAGTGAGTGATGTGCTTCAATAATGAATTCACTTGATGACATGCATTTTTCTCAAACTAACCTGGATCCGGCTGTTGCCCCAATCTGCAACGATAATGTTTCCGTTGGCATCGACGGCCACGCCTGTCGGAGCATTGAACTGTCCGTTCCCTTCTCCGTGGGAACCAAATTTAAACAGGAACTCCCCATCGGCGTTATACACCTGCAGGAGAGATTACACAGGAAACACTCTGCTGTCACACGTGATCAACATATGTTGAGGAAAACAGGATACGCAGAATATTATTATAAAAAATATTTATGATAACACAGCTATTCAGCCAGTCAGTCTACTTAAACTTTAATTTACCTGATCGAAATGTCATGATTACATAGCTCACTCTAGGTCAAAGTGTTTTTAATAACATTTGGTACAATTTAATCTGGTAAAGCTGTTATTTATTTTTGACTGAGTTTTTGTATTTAATTTAAAGAGTGATTCTTTTTTTTGATTTATAGGTACGACGGAAACACTTGCAACATGATTGTGGAAGAAAAATAATGGGAAGAAGATAAGTTATACCATTTAACACATCCACTACTTCATTTAGATAAGCAGGATTTCTTTTTTTTTTCAGATTAAAAAGTATGCAATACAGAGTAAAAAAACTGGAGATGCTTTCTAAAGATAACATGTATTAAAATATAGATGCTGTAAATAAACAAGCTGTTTATTCACAATGCAGGTTTTGTACAAAAAGTGTGTGCACAGACACTTGAAACAAACCTTCACTGAATGGTTGTGGAAATCTGTTACCACAATTTCATTCTTGTTATTTACAGCCACAAAGTGAGGACCTGGAAACAGCAGAGGAAACAAGAGAAGGAAAAAGGAAAGATACATCAGCGGCTGCTTTACAACACACGAGAGGAAGTCCCTCACTATTTTTGGACACTGAAAACACAAAAGACACTCAGAGTTGACGTGGGACAGAACGTGGGACACGACAGAGCTGATGCATCGACATGGAAAAGAACAAGGAGATTTGTTTTCTCAGTTCACACTCACAGTGAATTCATTACTTACTGAAAACAGGGCCAGATTTACTAAGCTTTTGCTCCAGTGCAATGTTTGCACCACTTTTTTCTAAAGGGAAAGAAAAGGTCCAGGTGAGAAATGAAAAAATGGACACAATGAATGAGTTTCAACAGAAATACTGTCGCCTTTGCAACAACTGAGGCAATTTCACTGCGCGATTCCAGTAATACATGCAAATAGTTCATTACAATTACAGTTATTTATTCTCACCCAAACTCTGAGTGGAGTGGATGTTACACTTTGACTTTAACCACTCTGTCTTGTACTAAGATGATAAGGTGTTTCTTTACAAGTTTACAAGATTTAAATACCAACATAATGATAATAATCATCATAGACAGTAAATAAAGAAGGACGAAATGACAGCTCCTTTAAAACCTTAGCCACAGTATAATGATATCCCCCTGGTGGGTGACTGCAGTATAAACCTATAAATCTCACTCCCTTGGTTTATGTGTTTTTTGATTCTAAATAAACGTGGGGCTGAAATGTCATGATTGACAGCTGAGACTGACTCCTGATTGGCCAGGCTCGTTTATCGGTGGGACCTTGACACCGCAACTCTACTACTGCGCTGACTCTGGATCCTGTGACCATTTTAGCTTCATTTTTGTAAATGGAGATGCGTCCGTCTTTATTTACAATCTTTGTGCATAATAAAGTAGCAGCTATACATGCTAACATTAGTTAGCACTAAAGATAAAGGGAAACATGCTGGTCATTAAATAAATAAATGATTATATTTTGAACGTGAACATTCCTGTAAAGAAAGATAATGAAAGGTGTAAATCGGGCCCAACATCATGCTCTGAGACACGAAGCATCACTTGGTGTGTGCATCTTTTCCTAGAAGAGAAATCAATCATGAGAAGATCATACTTTGGGTAACTTGTAGTTTTAGCCAACGGTACCTGCAAAGTGTCTGTCTGACGTTCCTCTCGCTCCGAACTTGGTCACCAGCTTCCCATTGGATTGGAAGATGAACACACAGCAGGCTTTGTTATCAACAGTGATGATGTGGCCGTTCTTATCCACGGCCACGCCTTTTGGTCCCATCAGTCTCCCGGCGCCGATTTTGCTCTGTGACGGTCAGAGGGACACTTTGGTTATCCAGTGAATCTCTGTATTGAAAGATATGCGTCGTCCTGGCAGTGACCGCTCACCTTGAACTTGCCGTCCGAGGAGAAGATGCTGATCCATCTGTTGTCGTAGTCGGCTACGATGATGTCACCGTTCATGTCCACCGTGACCCCCGTGGGGCGCTGCAGCTGCCCCGGTGAACGGCCCCGGACGCCGAACCTCATTTTAAACTGGCCGTCGTTTGAGAAGACCTAGAAAAAGGGGGAAAAAACAATCACCTCACAGCCTTAACAAAGAAATAATTCATGATATCTTTATTACAGATCCAGAGAATACCGATCGCTGACCTGTATGCACTGGTTGTTGCTGTCTGCCACCACAATCCGACCGTTACTGGAGGTCGAGATGCCTTGTAGGTTAGTAAATTCCCCTTTATCTCTACCTCTTGTTCCTGTCACATAAACAAGAGATGCATGAGTATTTCTGTCTATATATAAAATAAATATATTCAGTGTGCACAAACGATAGGTAACAGAGGGAACTACTTTGTGTAAAGTCTAAAGCTGATTCCTCTGCATCATCAGCTACTAAATCTATCCACATACCAGTGAACGCACAGGTCAAAAACTTCCTGCAGCTCCCTCAGCACTTTAAATAATTACCAGCAGAAGTAGTCAGTTATTCACCCACCCACTCTGTAGATCAGCTCGTCCTCTATCGGGTTTTCCTTTTTCTTGGTGGTGCTGTACATGCTGGAGGGCCTGCGCACCGCCTTCTGTCGAACATGACCTCCTCCTCCGCTCGGGGACTTCACTCTTCTCTTCACATCCTCTGGCGACTGCAGGACATCTGACGGCTTGACGGCACGCAGACGGAACGGACTCCCCCTCACAGGCTGTTCGTACAGCAGCAAGGAGAAGGTGTACTCTCCCTCCGAGCGGATGGTATATCCAACCTCATAGGTGCCGTTTTTGTTGTCCGCCACCTCTGCTTCGGTGCACGCTCCATCAGCAGAGATAATCTCTGCCCTCAGAGCAGCGTTTCCAGTCTTCACCAGTTCTCCGTCCTTATCTTTAGTAGTGACCGTGACAGTGGTGTGCTGGCCGACCAGCGCGTGTCGCAGGCCTTCACCGGTGGCGACGCTCGTGTGGCCCACGGCTCCCGTTGTGATCAAGACTCCCAGGTTCTGGATGGAGCGCCTCAGTCCGTCCGTCTCTACCTGGCATTCAAGATGTCCATTTTCGTGAGGGTGTTCAGGAAAGGTGTGTCGTGCCAGGGCACTGACCCGCTCACCCATTTGCTTCTGGACCAACAGCACCTCCGTGGCGCTGCCATGGCTCAGCGCCTGCTCCGTGAAGTTGCAGCTGCTCTGAATGTTCTCTTTGCCCTGAAGCAAAGACGTCAGCTGTACCTGAAGAACCTGTGTTTGTGCAAAGAGACAGAAGCAGACAGTCAGTGGTGCCTCTGCTAAAATACAGCTCATTTTCATTCTCTACAATTAAAACTTAGAAACATCTCAGACCTTCTGCTTGGTGCTGCAGATGTTTTCCACCTCAGTGACCAGGGCAGTCTTGCGTTGGTGTAAAGCCTTCTCTAGCTCGTCAAACGTGTTGCTGATGTCAGTCACGGCGTCATTTTTACGCTCCGAAAGCTGCTTGGAGATTTCATTCACAAGCTCAATGGCAGCCGTCAACTGAGGTAGTCTGTCAAAATAAAAAATATATAATATATAATATAATGTTAGCATTATTTATTTACAGCACAAGCACAAAATCGGTGATGGATTACACTGTACCTGTTGCGCACAGTGTCCAGCTGATTGCTGAGTGCCGACTTGTGTTGTTCCAGCACATCCCTCAGAGGAACCGTCACATGTTCCCTGTGTTCTCCCTCCGTACACTCCAGACACATGGCGGTTTCACATGACTCGCAGTAAAACTCCATCACCTGCAGATGGTGCAGTGGAGCAAGAGACAACTCAACATCCTATTTCTGTCGGTTCATTTGTTTCGAAATTTTGAACAAATATGAGAAAAAGTATTTTAATATGAGATGTTGTAAAAGTTCACAGTATTTTGAACTCTGTGGTTAATCTGGTGAATTTCATCAACTGTACAACACTCTCCATCCTTTAGATTTTTGACTGACCTTGCCCTCATGGTTGGGACAAGACAGGGGCTGACAGGCCGTAGCTGCGCTGGCCGACTCGAGAACGTTGCAGGCCTCAGGTCGGCTGCACTCAGGGTCTCGCTGCAACACCTCCATCAGGTTTGTGATGAAAAAGTTGTTCTGCAGGGCTGCCACGCCCTTCTCTGGCAAGATAGAGGTCTGTCTGCACACAGGGCACGACAGCGTCAAAGACTGGGGCGGGATGTAGTTCTGTAGACATCTGAACAGAGAAGAGATGAAGAAAGAAATGATTTAAGTCCAGGTTGAAGATGGTGCAAAAACAACTTTAGATACTAATAATAATAGTAACAATAAACTTTATTTATAAAGCACTTTTTAAAACAGAGTTGACAGCAAAGCATGAAAAGAAATAGAATATAAAATAATCCTAGTTTTCACTGGTGTGTAATTGTATGAATTGTTGTTTTTTTTAATCATAGAATGGGCCCTTTATATCTAAAAACTTTATATTTACATGAAGGTGGGTCCTCTCTGTGGAGGCCGCCATGTTTTTTACTGTATCCAAACTGGACAACCTAAAACCTTTTGAGTTTTCATGACAACTTACGTTCACCACAGGTTCTCTTTCATGTTGGGAAGGGGAGGGTGAGGTGAGGGGTATTCAACTGCAACATGCAACTTCACCATTAGATATCACTAAATTCTACACACTGAACCTTTAAAGGTGATTTAAAACAAGTCACTGCCTCGGCAAGATATCTCGTAGATTCTGTTCCTGACTGTTTCACAGGGCACAACTGAGAATCTAATTATTTAAATAGCTGCAAAGCAACGCTGTGGAAATTAACATTCGCTGCCAACAATTCTGTGCCATTAAGAATGCTGTCTGCTTCCCGGCGACCACGTTCAGAGTGGTTGGTGCCTTACATCATGCAGAAGCCCCAATGATTAGAGAATAGCTGGTGTGAGTGGTGTGACTCTGAGAACTTACTGCAAAACATTATTCATGCCTTTTCTTCATCTCCTGCATGAACCACACAATGAGCTGCACTGTATGAAAAGCACTGTGTGAAGAAAGCTTGAGTGATCAATGTGGAGCTTACTTCTCGCAGAAGGTGTGCAGACAGGGTAGCACCTTGGGGTTGTGATAATGATCCAAACAGATGCTGCAGACCAGGAACTGCTTGTCTATCTGCCTGACCACGGGGCTGGCGCTGCCGGTCTCGCGCTTCGCCATGGTGACGGACATTCAGAGGCGGCACGGGGACCACTTACCCTGCGCACACACAGCATGGAGGAAACAGGAGAAAGGTCAAGAAAGCCTTGAGGAAACATTCAAACAGGGTGAGGAGGGCGTATTCGTTTACCCTCAGCATGAGCACAAGGAAGGAATGAGTCATAAAGCTGTTACTGTTATCCAAGGCCTGTATCTATCTGCCGGCGTTTTTTTGCTTCCCCTCACTTATGACATGGCATCTGCAGGATGAGCCATTTTCCTTTCCTGCGAACATCCGAACAACTGTTTGAGTCTTTAAGGGAAAATCCTAACCGAGCTGATGCAGCGGAAGAAAAATTAATACATGTAATTAACACCACAGGGCAGAGCTCGCAGCCAAGACAACTCTGCAGCATCAGAGCCAGCGTGTCTGAGTTTACAGAGTTGAAAGTTCAGTATATGTGTATTTGCTGCAGTGCATCTTGTTTCCGTCCCAACAGCAATTCTGCCGTCTAGAGCCAGCAGGCACGGCAAAAATTCTGTTACATGAAACTGTATCACTGGGTCAAGCACAGATTATCTGAGCGTGCCACTGGCAGGTTGTAAATCTGTCATATTGTAAATAAGCACACAAAGGATTACATGAAAAAACACAGTTCACACACACACACACACACACACACACACACACACACACACAGCGTTTTAATGTAGTCCATCAACGATGATGGCCTTCTAAAAAACATTTAGTCAGGAAACACAGTTGAGAGCAGGTCATCGGCCATTCTCCTCATTAGGTCTCTCTCATATTTATTGTGCCTGATTTTACACAGTGCCTCTAATTCTTTCTTTCTCTTGTACAATGGCAATAAAGGCTTTCTATTCTATTCTATCATCAGATCATTTTTGTTTTTAACTTGTATTTTTCTGTTCATTGTAGATGCTGCTCTTGCTGACACTATCCATGCCCATAATGCTGCACTGTGCCTCTTGAACAGAAGCTCTACATCCACTAATCTAGACCTCATTGAAGACTGATGGAGTTCAGAGAGGTAGAACTTGTGTACATGTTGAATTACTGTAAAAAATAGATATCACTTCCCTGAATATGCCTGATTTTGTTTATCAAGATTCAAACAAACCAACAAACAAATGGACAGGGGTGAAGATATAACCTTGATGGTGGATGAAATTAATAGAAAGCAAACAAATATAAATGTCCATCCCTAAAAACAGATGATATTGTGCTTAGTAAAAACTGTGGATGTTACTTGGAAACGTGTCACCATACTGGGACTTAACATCATTGATCAGTTTCTAATGATATACTATAGTTCTGAGTTTAATGTAAGCTGAGAGATTCAAAAAAATAAAAACTTCATCATAATGATGAATATAAACTTATATAATATATATAATATATATTTACATTATATGTTTACATTTTCATAGCTCCAAATGTTCCCGTTAAGAACAATCGTCTAGATCTTATTATTCCCATGAAAACAAACCTTCTCTAACATGGACTCACCCATCGCCTCTCACTGCGTCACAGCCCTATGACTGTAGACTTCTTCAGCCTCATCTCTGTTCCACTGGCCCATCGGCTTGAAACGTCTTGTTTGAGGCTGCATCTAAACAACTGCCCCCTCAATCTGACCTGGGCCTGTGCGCCATCTCGCACCCGGAGCTTCGTCAAGCTCGCTCCCTCTCTGACATCCAGCTCTGAGCGGCGTCTGGGCCCCTTTTCTTTGAGAGTAAGGAGAGGAAACAGGAAGCTGTGAAAAGCCACTCCCTGAAAATTCCTCCTTCTCTTGACTCCCAGCAGGCCGAGTTCATGCACCACCTGTCTGTCTGTCTGTCTGTCTGTCTGTCTGTCGGGATAGGGAGGATAAGGACAGGGGGGATTCACATTGATGTGGGAGGCCTGTCTCACATAATGCTGGGCGGCCTGTCTCACATGAGCTAGCAGGCCTCAGAGGCAGCTGGCCCTCTATGCAGCACAGAGCGGCGAGCTCGAACAATGGCATTCCAGCCCCTCTCACAGCCCACCACCCCACACGTCTTCTCCCCTCTGTCCTCTCCTCCTCTTCCTCCTCTCTCTCTCTCTCTCTCTCTCTTTCAGCCACCTAAAATGCATTCACAGCATCATCAGGCCTGATTTCAGCCACAAACGTCTTGCAGATGGGGATTTTCTCAGGCAGGCCGGCCCCATTGTTGCCACTTGCCAAGTGATTACCGACTAAGGCGCTGTGCAGACTGGAGGCCTTTCACTGTACACACAGCCCGACCCTCTCCTGTCTACCCCTCCCCTCTCTGCAGGGCCGTCTTCGCTTCACATGAACACTTAAGTGCAGCAGCTGAGCGGTGACATCAGGAGGAAGCTTGAGGAGCCAAAGTCCCTCAGGCTCCTCCCCTCCCTCGGCTGGCTAGCCACTGCCTTTATGGCTGCAACAGCACCCACTCTCCCTCCCCACCACCAACACCACCTCCACTTCCCTTGCTCCCTGCCGGCCCGTTCCCTCAGCAGCCCGCCTCGGCTCGTTCCTCCCACTCGCCTCACCACAGAAAAGAGGATCTTTCTTTAAAAAGCTGTCATTTGCTGACTGCAGCCCTCAGCTGTGCACGTACGTAGAAAAACGATGACACTATTAAAAAGTAAAACCCAACCGACAAAAACAAGATCAATGAAATCACTGCTTTGAATAATCCTTTGTCACAAAGCTCCAAAGGGTGCAGTTATTTCAAGATATACTTGAAACCTTCGTACAGACAGATGAATCTAAAAATAACATAATCCATGAGTTGAACTATTCAAAATACAGCTCTGACAGAAGTGTCATTCAGTGACAGAGACTATAGAGACCTAAATCTGCAGCATACTGTGACGAATGAGGCAGCATGTGACCAGACATCCTCTTCAAGGCTTTGTCACAGGAACTGCATGATCAGCACTTCACATAGATGAGGTCAATTATCAGAGTCAGTGTGCAACAGGGTTCTCTCTCTCTCTCTCTCTCTCTGTGTAGTGTATCTGCGTCACACAGGAACATGTCGCCTGCAGGAAAGTGTGTGAATTCATCTGTTTGACTGCAAAGCATCTCTTGCCACTCTCACTCTGCATTACAGTTAAGTGGCTTAATGTCCTCGTACAGGGTCAGGCCCTGTCTGCCATCTGGATTACTGTGCCTATAATGACAGACACCATCACGCCCAATCAACTCAAATCTCGTTTAAAGCCGCCGCCTTGTGTAAACGTCCTGCTAAACGTGGCCCGACATACTAACAGCTATTGCCGGTTCACAAACCTGACTACATACAAGGAGGTGTTCTACGCTTCAGATGAAACGTTTGCGTCATAAACGTCTTTCTCCTGAACACATCATCTTTTAATATGAATGGCAAAAGTGGATTTCAGAAACCTGAGCTCAGAGAAAAGATCTCTCAGTCGATTCTGCTGCACGAGGGCAGGGAGCCACGGCCCCGTTTTACACCTGTCCCAGAAAATGAAGCTTGATATTTTGAAATAACGAGTTGTGTACTTGTGCACTGCTTTCTGCAAATGATGACTTATGATTTGGTCGGCCAGTAAATATCACAACTATGTAAAGTAAAATTAATTGACTAGGGGTTTTAATTAGTTATTTTTATTTTACATTACACATTTTAGAATCACCCAAAAAACGTTGCCACACTGAATAGATGATCTACTTCTCTCACCCGCAGTTGTTTTGAATTATTCATGAGACATATTACATAAGATTCAGTGGAGACCTCACAAAAAATTACCTCTTAAATAAGTCAGGATCTTCCCAAAGTCTGATCCTCTAGACACCGGCCCCAGAAAACTATTTAATATGAATTAAAATTCAGTTCATGAAAATTAATCCCCAGGACACAACACAGTAAATTTTTGATATAAAAGAGTTCCCAAAGAAAACTATTTCTATATCGCTTTGTCTGTGGACTAAATGGTTTAAGAAATACATATTGTTTTTGTAATGTATTATTTCTACTCTCACATATTAAATTATATATACTCAGGTAGTTCACGTGGGTAGTTTTGCATAAAGCCAGACCACCACACCTCCACAGGGCTGAGTCAGCAGGAGAGGAAGTTCATCTCATTGGCAGAGATCTATAATACGAAATAAATAATATGTAAGAAATATAAAAATAATAAAGATACATAAATAATTAGCAAATAAAAATCTGCTGCTTTGCTTATTACTAGGGCTGGTTAGAATTATTGATCAGTGAAATATTTATATTTATATGAATATTGTCTAATATCATGATGCAACAAATGCACCTAAAATAACATAAAGCCATCAACCTGATGTTCAAAGTGTTTCTTCACATGTCTATTAATAAATCATTGTGGTGTGAATTCACTGAAACATGATCAATGGCAGAGGAGGAGTTGTAAACTAGTCATTTTCAGATTGTCAGTATCATTCCTCAGCTCGGACGATTCCAGGATGTTTGCCCATAGAAAGGATTTTCCTCTTCCCCTCCTCTTTCTCTGTTTGAGTGAAACCTTCAGCTTTGTCTGGTATTTCAGTCTGCGTCTCTGTGTCATCTATTCTCTATTTCTTTGCAAGATTATTTGGAGTAGATACTTCCAGTCAAATCCACATTTTTACCACATTTTACCACCTCAGACTAAAGCGTTTTCCTGGTTTTATTCAGTTGTGATCTGTTTTTCTGGACTAAAAGGTTCTGACCTGAAGTACAGGAAGTGTTGGCCCCTGAAGATGCTCTGTCAACAGTGTTTAAATACAGACTGAACTTTATGTTTCTGTGTTGTCCTCTCTCTTCCAGCGTGTGTCATCATGAGGTAAATGTGTACGCTCGGCCTGTGCACTAACATTTATTGTTTTACCCTCTGAGGAAACGTAAATTGAAGAAATATCTGCCTGTTTTTAACTGGGGAGGAAAGAGAGAATTGAAAGGAGAAGAAAGAGTAAAAGTAAAAGAGACAGCTGTGATATTTTATGGTAACTGAGCTTTAGAGACTGGGATTTGTTCGTTTCAATCCAAAAATGATAACTGTCCACATTACTGTGAATGCCACAAATCATCTGCATCACAGCAAATATCTGTTTATTATTATTATAATTATTTGTTTGAAAGTATTCTGAGGAGAGTTTTTCTGTTTATACACCGGGCAGTAAATTGAGGAATAAATAGGAGTCTTGTGATGATGATTTGCAACTACATCTGATCTTATCCAGACTCGGGTCAAGCGTGACCGATTTTCCAATTTGTACGAGCAATAACAAACCAAAAGGGCTCCTGTGTGGTTTGGAACAACAAGGCTGATGCAGAGCCGAAAACCAGAAAATCCAAAACATCAAACCTCTAGGAGTACATTTCTGTGTTAAGGGGCCGCTGGGGGCCCCCGGCTAAGGTGCTTGGCCCTGTGATGAGTCATCAGTTATTGCCCACACTATACACAGAAACCTCTGCTCGTCAAACTAACAAGCTCCGGCTTTCACCTCGCTGCATCCAATGAAGGAATCTGTCTCAACGCATCAGCCTCTGTCAGAAGAGTCATAGCAGTGGACACAGAATGAGAGAAAAACAGTGTTTGAACATTTCAAACGTTTCAACAGGACAAAACGAGCTCGTTTCGTGAATTCATCTTATGCATAACTTGGTCCATGTGTTTGTGTTTTTATTTCATTCTTTCCTGATGAGTCTGCTGGGACTAGGTTTGCATGAATAACAAGTGCCTGACTAAAATTTGCTGACCAAGTCTGTGCATGAGTTACATTTATAAGTGAGGATGCGTGACTCTTATTTTGATATGCAATGAGTTGCATTTAAAAAGGACAAACGCTGCAGTAGTCCTCTATCTTTTCATTTCCTCTGCAGATGTTTGGTTGATAAGATGTGACAGCTAATGAGAGAGGGATGAGTGAAAGTGACCACTTCATGTGGATTGGGATTGTCAGCAGAATTTTCAATCAACACTGACACATACGAAGGAGTCAGGAGACTGTGTCTGGGTCTCTCTGGGAGCCCTTCATTACAAAGGCCGGCCGAAGACAATGCAGTGTGCACGCAGCGTTTCTGCAAGAACAACGTGCACCCTTGTCTACAAGCAGGAAGAGCTACTGAGTGACTCACGTGATAACTCAGATGCTCATATTATGTCTGGTACATGTTGACCTGACTGGAAATATCTTTTAGAGCCGATAGAACCATACGTATGATATATGAGCCTGCTGCAGACAAATTGGCTATGCATTTGTGATGTTATAGCTTTTTTTACAGAATGAACAAAGCAAAGTAGATGTGCACTTATTTTGACATTTCATGGAAAAAATATTATAAAAATATATATATATTTTCAACTTCTACATATGTATGCATTTGTGTTTTCTTTATAATTATTTATAATAAAGGTTATGGTTACTTTTTTTTGCGATAATGGTATGACAATGACATCTTGGAAATGATTGCTATTTTTTAAATATATATATCAGCCAATAAATTGGTAAATTAGACATTTTGTATACCTAGTATCTACCGCAAAAATCGAAATCAGTTGGATAAAATGTAAATTACTTTCCAACATGATGAGTAAATGTTCATGTAGTTAGAAGAATTGGATTTTATTTGTGCGTGTGATAAAATATCAGATGTGTGTTTATGTTCACCGTCTGAGTCAAGTCTCTGTTGCGTTCATTGATATTAATACTCTAACATGTTAAACAAGGCTAACATGAACCTTTA